GGGCTCGTTTAAATATTTTAATAATCTCTTGTATCGCGAACGGCGATTCGAATATTTAGCGGTACCGCGATATCCAGGAACCGGGGCTCCCCTCTTCCTTTACCGCCCGCTCGTTGGAACTATACGCGGCAGAAGGATCCGCGGGTAGGGATACTCTACCCCGCCGATCGAATTCGAGCAACCCTCCTTGACAAGAGCGCTCTCGCTTTCGTCCACGATCCGAGTACCTATCGGGCATGCATTGTCGAAGCAATTAGATCGAGATTCATCGATTCGCCCGGCCGAAGGAATGTAAATCCACCAAACGATTGTCGTTCTGTTTCGACGACCAGCGACGACCATTAGAATTTCAAACGTCGTTCGGATTCGCGACTGGGTTCAGCGAGACATTGCCGATTTTTGCGGAGACCGGGACGAAAAGACGAAAATAAGGAGATTAATCGCATCGTCGACTCGATCGACCTGACCCCCATTCACTCGCGAAGTGAACCGTTGTAACGTACCGGTGGTTTATATCGACCCCAGGCGCGCGGCCTTCGAATTTTCCGGTCTAATGGAACGTGCCATTTAGGCGAGCACTTTGAGGCGATTCGATTTTCTCTGTGCACTCTTTTTTCTCTCCTCTTCCTCTTTTTTTTTTTTTTTTTTTTTTTTCTTTTTTTACCTCGCGTCGTTACATCGACACACCTGGCAACACCTTGCCACCCTGCACAGGTAAGCGGCTTACAACCAGGCGCCTCGTATCGCCGCGCTATCTCGCGCGAGCCTTCACATTGTGCGCTCTGGCCGAAGGCTCGTTTATCATCCGTAGAGCGATAATCAATTAATCGCGTGAATACGGCCGCGATACGAAGAGACTCGTATTTTAATATTTAAACTTCTTGAGCGGGAGATTAATTCTTCACGCTCCGGCAGGGCTTCTATGATCGACCTATTTATCAGACGAGCCTTTCGCCACTTTTCCCCGCGACGCGACGCTCGCCGATGCTACGGAACTTATCAGGCGTTGTAAAATGTATTACTGCTGGTTCGTTAATTTTTCAGAAGTATTTATGCAACCCCTCCCGGCTCGTTCACCCGGGATTCTCGTATAGTACAGCGTATCGTCCATCTTGCTCTTCCGCGCCACGATCCTTTATTATTTCTTCTCTCTTTTTTCTTTTTTTTCTTTTACGACGCCGTTTCGTCGTACAATAGCCGACGATTTCATCCGCCACCTCTTCATTAAACGATTCGATAATGCAATCCGTGCCACGGATAATCGTCACGGATCCGGCCTTTTGATTCACTGCCCGTTTTTTCTTCCCAACGGCCTGTAAGAGGATTCGGGGAATGTATCGCGTACACGAGCCCCTCTCTCCAGCGTCCCGCAAAAATGTCATTAGCTTCCGCTAGGGGAATGCCCTTTGACCTTTGCACGATGAGAGGAAACTTGACCTGCGGCCAACGTTAACCAGCCGACTTTGTAACCTGTTGTCGCCATAGATAAGTCGTCTCTCTCTCTCTCTCTCTCTCTCTGACTCTTGGCGGTCGATCGTATGACCCTCTTACTATCCTGAACCCACCGCTCAACCCCTGTATCCCTATCCCAGCGATGAAACGCTACGCGCATCTCTACCCTGCCGCCGCTTGTGTCGTGCCTTTCGGTAGATCAAGGTGACCCAGGTTCATTAGCTTACGACCGACGGGTGTACAAAGTTTCTCTGGGAACCTTAAAGTAAAGAGGAGTCCTCGACAAGACTGCAACTCCGATTAGCTTACGCTTACGGGACATCTATATATATATATATATATAGGTCTTTGGGAACGATCGACAAATATATAGTCGAGTGTATCGTGTACATCGGCGGCATTAACCGGGTTTCTCGGCGCGGATTTCACGGCCGTCGGCTTCGTGTTTATACACGAAGGTTCGTGGAATGCACGCCACGGTACCTGGTGGTATTTGTTGTTTGCAGTTACTCAGCCCTCTATGTTTTCCTCCGCCCCATCCTTCCGAAACCCCGAACCTCTCGCTCCCACGCATCCGGCCGCTCCATTCACAACCTCTCTCGCACCCTCCCCCCCCCCCCCCCCCCCCCTCCCCCTTTAGCACAGCCAAGAATGCGCCGCGCGTTGCCCCGTGCAAGCACGATGCAGCAACATACTGTGTACCGAGGGGGATGCGCATCTCTGAGCATCCCGTGGAAGGGGAAGACAGTCTGCCGAGAGGGATTTTATTATACGGTGGAACGGAGACCCGCTGGAGAATATAACCGTGGAAATGCACGAATAATACGAAAGCCGCAAAACAGGCGGCAGTGATAACGTCGGCGAACAACGCCGGTGACAAGAGACGCATAGGGACGCGAAGAGAACGTGCCACCGCGACGAGAACGATCCGTGATACTTCCTTTTTCTTTTCCACCCGCGCTCGGCCAACGAATACTTTTCATTGCCCGGGCACGTACCTCGCGAGAAAAACACGCTGGCAACACAGCCACCGGTACGTCCCTTTCGAAAATTTTCGCTCGCGTCGTCGTTTTCGTTCCGCCAATTTGCAACGGTCACGTCTTCGCGGTGACAGAGTCGTCGCGATGAGGTATATTATGCACGACGAATTTCCCCCCCCCCCCGAGGAGACTGGAGACTGGAGCCGGCGACGACCGATTTTCGACCGAGCGAAGGAGACACCGCTTTTCTTTTTCTTTTTTCTTTTTTTACAGCTTTACGGCCGTAACGAGATATCTTGATCGAAATCATACACGGTTAATACCGTAGGAGAGTGGGAGAGAAAGGTCAGCGGGAATCGAAAAGTTTCCACCGAGGATAATAATCCGACGGCCGCGGCCGGCAGGGTGGTGGGAAAGAGAAGAGAAAATTGATCGATCGTTCGCTTTGATCAACTCGCGAACCAAGCGTTTTTCTTTTCCACGGAGAGATTGCCTAATCCGTGTGGAATACACAGGGACGGGGGGAAAGGGAACGCGGACATTGGAAAGTTTCAGATGTCCGAGCGATTTTTGATCAGCCGAGAGATCGGAGGAACTCTACTCTGTGTTCCTTTCCGTGTTTCTGCTCTTTCTCGCGCTCGCGTGCCGCGTGTACCGTGTCGGATAGCAAGGTACACGGTTTCCCCATTATCGGGTGTTTACGACGACGACGAGGGGGGGGGGGGGGGGGGGTGGGGGAGGGCACACAGGAGGCGACACACACGAGGACGACGAGGGTCGCATCGCCGCCGGTGGAGATCGCATCGGCCGCTCCGCATAATAACTAGCTACCGTGCATTTACATTTTAATACGGGCACTCTGCATAGCGGATAAAAGGTGTATAGCCCGACGAGGATGAAATCACCGACCTCTGTGCGTCGTCATCGACACCCACCGCTCGGTGGCTCGTTGCTCGCGGAAATAACCGGCAAATTAGCCGGAACGCGACCCACCCGTATCCCCAGGCTCCTTGGGATTTTCTACTCTGGCTGATCTCTCGCGCCGCCAGTAGTCTAGTTTTTTTTTTCTCTTCTCCACTTCTTGTGGCCGCGAGCCACCTTGTTTTCGTAACCGCGGTGAAAAATATCGCGGTGACGGTCTCGCGTCAGAGTCGATGAGGCGCGAGTTTTTACAGCGGACGCTTTCGCGGGATGTCAAAGGAGCGGGCGGACTTGTTATTAATGCAGTTTGCGCGACTCGTCGAGAGCTGCAGTAAATTAAAGAGCACACGCTGAAAGGGGGAACGTATCGCTCTACTTCCAAGAAACGAGCCACCAGCAGCAGCGACGGAACATCTTTACTCGATGAAAAATGTACGGTTGTCTAGCGCGAGATGGCCGATTGTTGTTTCGCGTCCGCGCGAAAAAAAAAGAAAGAAAAAAGAAAGGAATGTTTAATCCATGTATGATGAAGCGCAAGCCCACGGATACACTCGGAAAAGAACGATTAATAATATCGCGATAATTTCTTGGAGTATACGTGTAGCATCGTATCAGAATAAAATGAGCATTTCTCAGAATGTTATATATTGTCGAAAAAAATAGAGAAATCTGCTGCCTAACCTCTTTACTTTATATAATAATTCTTCTGAACTCGATCGTGTATGGAATTTATTAAATTTTTAAATAAGATTTGAAACTTGTTCTGGTTGGTCGGTAGATCAACTGGATGTTTTTAAAATCAAATAAAGAGATGAGACAAATATCTTTTTATATACGAAAATTTTTTTATAAAAATGCTTAATGCATGAATATATGATGTAAATGTTACCGAGCACTAGTGGAGACGTTTAAAACAGAATAACTAAAAATATATTCAAACACCACGAATAGAGAAAATTTAAAGGTTCGATCAAACTGATGGTTGAAGAGAAAAAATAAAATTTTTTTCACTTAAGACTTCTTTTTCTCGATAAAGTCAAGTTTGAAAATTTATCATTTGAATTTCAATTCTGACTTGGATATAGATGGTTATTGTACCTGCGAAAGTTAATCAAACAAGATAGAACAATATTTCTTCATAAAACACGACGTTTCTCGACAAAACTGAATTTGAAAATTTATCAAATATACGAGTACCAAGCTAATTCTTAACTAAACACGTTCAAACTTTGTTCTCTTTGAATCGAGGCCTCGAGTAAAAAAATATTTATACCACACTTCTCACTTATTTTTAGATAAAACACTTTCCTCTCGTCTATTCATTTCAGCTCATTAATCAAATTAATCAAATTAAAATATACCTGACAAACAAACTTTATTTTCTCAGTGAGAAAATGTTATTCTTCCATTCTACAGACTGGTATAAAAAATACTTTTTCCTAATTGTCAATGTCTCCCACAATAAGTGACAAAATAAATTAATAAAGCAACAGCAATTGATTTAAAAAAAAAAAAAAAAAGAAAATGTTCGTTTTACTGTACTGCAGTAAATAGTGAAATATCGTCTCATCTCCAATTGTCGTGCTACGTCGTCGCACAAGTAAATAATTGAAGAAACACGTGCTATTTTCGCCAACAAAAACTCACCATCGTGGAGAAGCCCTCCGTTCATTGATTATCCGGAGAAAAATTCGATGCGAAGTCTCCCTCGTCTCCAACGATTCCCCGCGATTCACGTTTCCAAGATCCAACTAGATATCCATTAAGATAAAAACCGAGAACCATGTTTAATGGTGAATCCAAATGTCGGCGACAAGGTTCGCCAGGCACGAAGCAGCTGGGAGGCAAACGGTGACAAAGAAGCGAGAAACAGGGGCGATCGTTTCGTTCCGTAGTTTATAGCGTTTTCGCGACATATCCGAAATGCGATACTGCGGCTGGATAGGCCTTGAAAAATGTTCTGTAACAGGAAGAAGATAACCGGTTAGCTGTTTTGCTGGGACAACATCCGATGGAACGGAATCCATTCCGTCGGATAAAAGAAGGAAAAAAAAGAGTGGAGATGGGAAAAAGGACAGATAAAATAAGACAGGGGGAGACGGAGGGCTGAAGGACGCAGAAGTAAAAAATTATTAAACACGATGATATCGGTACCATCCGGGCCGATGCAAATGGCCCATAAATTTGCGAAATTACATTGAAAATCAATGCGCCGGAGAGAGACGGTAGGAGCGCGAGGGAGCGAGAGAGAGGGTACGCGTTTTAATAAAAACTCTCTACCCTTTTTGTCAACGTGCGCTGCTCTCAGCGATATTAAAACCGGAACTCGAACGCGGCTCCCGGCACGCGTAGTGGCAGCATCGCCGAAATAAACGAGGCTAAATATTCTTAACATTTTACTGGATGTGCCACAACAATGAACAGAAAAAAAAAAAAAAAAAAAAAAAAAAAAAAAAAAAAAAAAAAAAAAAAAAAAAAAAAAAAAAAAAAAAAAAAAAAGAAAGAAAGAAAGAACAAAGTACGAAAGAACGAAACGAAAAAAAGAAGAGATTGACCTTATTCCCATAATAGCTCGACTCTGCCATTCGATCGACTCTTGTTTATCAATGAGAATCTAAGCCGCGAATAAACGGTGGAACGTCGATAACCATCACACGCTCGCGCGCACCCTCGCACGATTCTAGGCAGCGGCCGAAAGCCTATCGATCCGCAGGATCGATCCGACCTGCTTTCAGATCCCAGCTGTGTTTCGCCGTGCCGCGCATGTTTCGTTATCTGCACGATCGTTCCGCTGTAATCGGTTTCTACGGTCACACACGGAAACAATGTTCGCTTTCCTAGAGAGACCCGTGCCAGCGAAAACGATGAAGCTGACGCTACACCGCCGACCATTGCACCGACGCGGAGTGAGGATGCATGCGTCCCCCCGGTGCACTCGCAGATATACAACGGTGATTTATTAGGTGGGGAATTCCAATTCGCGGGCTGATTCATCGCGGACCGACCGCGGTCGAAATCCAGTAAACATCTTCGATCCACTCTCCTCCTAACAATTCCTCACGCGCGTGTTCGTGCGCGTCGTCACAGAGAATTCCCGTTCGCTGCACCCTATTACTCCGCGAGCCTATCCCGTGGAAATCCCGTTTACACGGGACGTCCGATCGTTTCCAGTGATTAGTTGCTAAACAATTAGCGCGACGTGCGCGCGACCACGGGGGTTGATCATGCCCGATCATAAAGGTCGAAGAGGAGAAAAGAGAGCGTGTTGTTCCGTTCGGCGAAGCGGTACACAATGAGAGCAGATTTTCAAAGGGTATCGGGAACCGGCTTAATTGCCGTCGCAATCGTCGGTAATTGTACATCCATCGGTTTCTCCTAACGAGAAAATGAACTAATACAGATCGAAACGGATAACAGCTCACGTTCTATTTTCCACCTTTCCCCTTTCCCGCTGACCTTTCGCAGTTGTTATCGCGCCAAGTTAGATTGGATCCGCGAAAAAGCAACAACCCCACCCCCGGCGACAATTCCCCCCTTTTTATGTAGAACGAGTCTTCGACTTCGACTTCGTGTCAAACGAGCGTGATTGAACGAACTATTCTCCTTTTTCCTTTTTTTTTTTTTTTTTTTTTTTTTTTTTTTAAAAA